GAGATTGCTCACCTGTGTGGGGGAGGGGTGCCCATACGTGGCTGTGTGGGGGTGTGCAGGCCGGTCAGTGTCCTGGGAGCATGGGCTCCTCGAGCACCGGGCCCCAGCCTGAGTCCCCACAGCGGCTCTCACAGACGGGCCGGCTCCAGCGTGGGCAGCACTGGCTCAGCCAGGACGCGCGTCTGCCCTCAGGAGCACGAGCTGCCGTTCTTGCTCCTGCGGACTCTTGTGCAGCCCAGCTCACTCACGTGGGGGTGGTCGGGGCTGCTGGTGTTGGGGAGGACGTTGGGATAAACTTCTCAGAGCTCCCAACCTTGGCTGCTTGAAAAGCTTTTATAACAGACATAGCCCACCGCGGTCACGTGTGTGTTCGTAACGAAATTGCTAGAGAGAAAGAGGAAGGCTTCCTGGCCACCCTGTAGGCGTGAAGGGCCTCCCAGGGCGGTAAGTAACGGGAGTCCCGGGACCAAGTGGCTGTGGTGGCCGCGCACAGGGGCACCGAGGGGGCAGCCGTTTATCGGGTGTCGGCGCCGCAGAGGTTTCTGTAAGTCCCTGCCCGGCGGGCGTGACGCAGCGTTGGCGCTCGCTCTGCCGCCGCTCCGCAGGGCACCCCCACGCCAAGGCCTTCCTCAGCCACGGCGGCCTGAACAGCATCTTCGAGACCATGTACCACGGCGTCCCGGTGGTGGGCATCCCGCTCTTCGGCGACCACTACGACACCATGACCCGCGTGCAGGCCAAGGGCATGGGCCTCCTGCTGGAGTGGAAGACCCTGACGGAGGCCGAGCTGCACGCGGCCCTGGTGCGGGTCATCAACGACCCCAGGTGAGCTGCCCGCTGGCTGGGGGGCGGGGAGGGAGCAGCCACTGGGCGCCGCCCTCACTGTGGGCACGTCGCCTCCTGCAGGTCCTCTGCCCACATTCCCGGTGGGGGGTGTGCAGGGGAGCCGTGGGGCCTCAGTGACCAGGCGGCACCGGCACCGCTCGGGCCAGGCGTAGTCAGAGCCCATTTTATGTTGCTGAACCTCCGAGTGCTGAGCTCAGCACAGTGGCCTCAGGGGTGATAACGGAGCAGCCCCCCTTTAAAAAAAACAAATGTGTATTTTTATTGATTTCAGAAAGGAAGGGAGAGAGAGAGAAACATCCATGATGAGAGAGACTCATGGATCGGCTGCCTCCTGCACGCCCCACACTGGGGATGGAGCCCGCCACCCAGGCATGTGCCTTGACTGGGAATCGAACCCTGACCTCCTGGTTCATAGGTCGACGCTCAACCACTGAGCCACGCCGGCCAGGCAGGTTGCACTGTTAAAACCAGGCGGCTCCCACATGCCGGGTGCCGGACGCAGAGTGTTTGTGCAATGAGAGAGTTCCTGCCTCACAGTGAGGGGAGGGGAGCAGAGAGACCGGAGGGCTCCTGAGCCGTCAGGCGCTGGCCGGGTGTCCCGTCGCTGTTGACCGGCACTGTCAGTGGCTGGGAGGGACTGACACGCGGTTGCTGCTGAAGAGCCGGCTGGCGTCAGCAGCACCCTGAGTGGGGAGCTCCAGTTAAGGGGGTCGCGAGGTGCCGAAGAGGTTTCCCCACTTCCTCACCCCGTGACAGGGGTCGTGGCGCCTCGCTCCTCACGGACCGGATGCCTGGGTTCCTGAGAGCCGTGCTCTGAGCTGGGGATTCTTCTGCATCTGGAGGTTCATTATGTGGAGCAAGTGGTGGGGGGAGGGGGAGTGAGTCCTCACGGCCCAGCCTGGGGCCCGGGCTCCCCAGGAGGCACTTTCTGTCCAGGAAATGCCATGTGAGTCACGTGGGCCTCGTACCAAGAGAAGGGCTCACGGAGGGGCATGGTGGGTGTGGGGATGCGCGGGTGGGGACGCGGGTTTGCATCAGAACTGCCGAGCCTGCACCAGCCGTGTCCACAGCCAGGCCCCTGGTGTCCATGCGCCTCAGCTGCTGCAGGGGCTCCTGTCGTGTTGACCTGAGCCAGTGCTCAGTGCGGGCAGAGCGCCTGGCTGGGACCGGGCGGTGCACACGGGTTGCCCTCCCGCTTGGGTCTCGGTGGCGCAAGCGCCTGGTCACTCCGTGTTCCTCCCGCAGCTTCCGCAGGCGGGCCCGGCAGCTGTCTGAGATCCACCGGGACCAGCCCGGGCACCCCGTGGAGCGGACCGTGTACTGGATCGAGTACATCCTGCGCCACCGCGGCGCCCGCCACCTGCAGGCCGCCGTCTACCAGCTGTCCTTCTGGCAGTACTTCCTGCTGGACGTGGCCGCCGTGCTGCTGCTCGCCGCCGCCCTGCTCGGCGCCCTGCTGGCCTGGGCCGCGCCGCTCGCCTGCCGGCTGGCCTGTCGCTGCTGGGCCCGGCGCAGGCCCGGCGCCGCCAACGGACATCACGCCAACGGGGTCCTGAACGGCAGGTGCAAGAGGAACGGCCACGTCCCGCACGACAAGAAGTCCAAGTGAGCCGTGGCCTGTGGCCCATGGCCCCCCCTGTGGCCTGTGGCCCATGGCCCCCGTGGCCCACGTCGCTGCTGCCCGTAGTCTAACCCCGAGAGCCGTCAGCGAGCAGTTCTAACCCCCTCTCTGATCCACTAATGCGACCCTGTGCGTCGGCGGCTGCGGAAGCACCGACCTAACATGCAAAACGTGTTTTACTCCGACACCCGTGCTGCCCGCGTGGCTCCGGACCCGTGAGGAGCCTTAATGATCAAAGTCCAGTGCCCAGTGCCCGTGTCGGTTGTAGTTCCGAGCCCTGACACGCGTGTGCTTCCCCGACCCGTGTGCGTGCGTGTGAGCGTGTGTTCCCCGAGGGCAGTGTGGTCTGCTGCGTCCACGGTTGTGCAGGGCGCAGCGCATTCAGGAATGAAGCAGAGGGGCCGTCCGCATCCGCTGTTCCTCTCCGGGAATTTAATCCGCAAACTCAGGACACTCGCCAACAACCTGTCCCTCCACCCCACCCCAGGAAGAAACGGAAAGACGAGGGCACCGGCTTTTGGACTCTGTTGTGTTTTTTGCTTATTTTAGGTTTTTGGTTTCTTGTCTTCCTCTTCCCACGGACTGTGGACGCCTCTGGGGGAAAGCGGACCATTAAGTAAAAGTGTCAATGGTCGTCATGCTTGGTTTGCCCGCCCGGAAATGGGCTGGAGGAATTTTACGCTGTTGCCACGCTGGCCCTGTGTTGCCTGTGGTGATGGAGCAGCTGGGCCGGAGCGGGTCAGCCCGGGAGCGTTAGAGGGGACGGGCCGGCGTCCCTGGCGCCTCGTCCCTCCTGCCTGGTGCCTTGTTCAGGTGTGACCGCTCCAAAACGTTAACTTCACAACCACCCTCGTCGCCCCTCGCCGTCCGGGCCACGCAGTCTATGCCACGGAGGTGCCAACGTGAGATTCTCACCCGGGGCCCGTGCGGGTCCCATCCTGTCCTCGCTCCGTGTGACCGTGTTCGTTCAGACGTCACGTGGCACGTGGAGGCGACGGACATCACACCTGCCGAGACACGGAGTTTGGGGATGAGTTCCTGTTCTCCTCCCGCCCCCGCCCGGCCCCAGCACCGGGCGGGACAGTGACGGCGACGGCGGCCTCCTCCTCGCACAGAACTGGGGTGACGCAGGACCCCTGGGCCCGACACCCCACGGCCACTCCCGGCTATTTGAGGTCGTTCTGTTTACTTGGCGTTTGCACTTGGCGGCTTTATTTATTGACGCTTTGGCCCCGTGTCTGACAGCTGAGCATGGAGACACACCGGCGACCTGATGACGTGCACGGGCGCGGGAAGACGGTGACACCCTGACCGCGGTCGCCTCCGCGTGCGCCATGACGGGACCTCACGCCCCGCCGGGAGCCGCCGAGCTGCGCGCAGAAACATGCGGCTTCCTCGCCCACACGCGTGGCGCTCTGAGCCCTGGAGGAAGCGGCGTGATGCCCGCAGCCCCCGGGCCACCGGTTGCCGTCTCCCCGCGAAGCTGCCGTGAGCAGGGGGGGGGGCACACAGGCCGTGAGCGGCGGGCGTGACGGGCTTCGAGCGCGCGAGGAGCTGGGATGACGCCGTCAGTGAGCACCCCCCGGGGATGAAGCAACACCTCCCTGCGACACGCTTACCAATACACGCGACTCACCGCGGAGAAAGGCGTCGGGTACAATTCTCTTCAGGGTTCGTTTTACAGTAATTTCTATTCAGGTTTTGTTTGGCCGCAGTATGTCCGTGACCAGCGCGTTTGAGACGGGTCCCCAGGTTTCTGTGTGTGCGCGGGAAGCGGTTTGTCACGCGTGGGAATGTTTACTGCCGCGGGGACCTGTTCCCCCGAGAGACCCCGCGCGGACCCTAACCTCGTCCCGGCGTTGGAACTGTTAAGGTCGCTGTTGGCCGATGGCTGCTGTTTTCTTGGTCAGCGGGTTGTTAGCCAGTGTTGACAGACAGATTGGGTTCAGGTTTCCCACACGTGCACGAGACTCGCTAATAAAGAACGTTTTCAGGAAGGTTTTCGCTCATTTGCTTTTAAAAGGAGCCGCCGGCGCGGGTATCCCACGGCTCTTCGTGGTCACACCGCACGGGAGCAGGACGCCAACCGGCCTGCCGTCCTGAGCGAGACTCGGCTCCCTGCTCGGGAACGGGGCGGGCGGGGTGGACGGGGTGGGCGTGGCATCGGCCCAAGGGGCCACACCGGGGACCACAGTGGTGTTTTTTTAAATATATTGTTATTGATTTCAGAGAGGAAGGGAGAGGGAGAGAGAGAGAGAAACATCAACGATGAGAGAGACACACTGATCGGCTGCCTCCTGCACGCCCCACACTGGGGATCGAGCTCACAACCTGGGCATGTGCCCTGATCAGGAATCGAACCGTGACCTCCTGGCTCCTAGGTCGAGGCTCAACCACCGAGCACGCCGGCCGGGCCGCAGTGGTTCTGCCTGAAGTGAGGGGAGCTGGAGGCTCTGGGGGAGAGGGCTGCTCACGATGGGGCCGTCCTCCTGCCGGGGCCTCAGGGACCGTGTTCTGGGACAGTCTCCAGTGTTCACCAGCTCAGCCTGGGTGTGACCCCAGGAATCTGTCTGCACGCCCCGCCCCCCACATTTCCACCTGCGCCAGGTGGGGACACACGACACCCTGTCCAGCAGGCCGGCCCCGGCGCTGGACCTCCAGACCACGTGTGGGATGAGACACCTGCCCTGCCCCCTCCGCCCGGACTGGGTGGGGCGGCTGGGGAACCAGGTGGGCACCTGGGCCCTTCATCTGCTCCTGTCGAGACCGTGCTGTGCTCAGACCCGACAGTCTGGCCTGCCTGTGCCCACCTGCCACAGGCTGAGTGGCCACAGGCCGGTCTGACCGCTAGTCAGACATCCTGGGCAGAGAACAGCCCTGGGGTCACTGGGAAGAAGTGGGTGGTTGTGAGACCGTGTGTGGGCCTCACGTTTGTAAACTGTGGGTGCCTTGTTTGACATCCACATCTGGAGCGAATTGAAGAGGAATTTATCCCCTGGACCAGGGGGCTGCTAGGGGGGACTGCTGGGTGGGGGTGCTGGTGGGGGCTGCTATGGGGGGCTGCTGGGTGGGGGGCTGCTGGGTGGTGTCCACTGGACAGCAGGGTGACCTGTGACCTGCCAGGCACTTGCCAGACCCCGGGGTCTCTCCGTGGAGGACCCACGATGTACACCAAGCATGTCAAACTCGTGGCCCGTGGGCTGCATGCCTCGTTTATTTGGCCCGTGTTAGCCTTTGAGTTTGACATGCTTGATGGACATGGTCACCGGCAGGTGCTGGGGGCCTGGCTGTGCCCGGGGGCCTGTGCTCACGGCCGCTGGTCAGTGGGTGTCTGTGTCTGAACCTTGCCTCCCACAATCCCCTGCACCCACCTGCCTCTTCTTGTAATTCAGCAAAACAACCGCAGGAGGCAGGTCCCCTCATGCCCTGTGCTCAGAGGGCAGCTGTCCGCCCTGCCCACACTCTCCGCCCCCGGCTGCTCCCTGGGTGCCCCTGTGACACGGGCGTGGCCTCTCCACCTGCCCCCCCCCCCGCCCTCCCCCTCCCCACACACAGCGCCCAGCCCTGCAGCACAGAAACGACCTTGGTTGTGTTTTAACGCAGGTGGTGCTTAGGGCAGGGGCTCAGGGGACGGTGAGAGGACAGACGAAGGGCTGAGGCTGTCAGTGAAGACACATTTGATCACGTGTGAATGAAGGCAGCTTTGCAGATGACACCCAGGTTAACAGAGGGGAGACTCGGCAATGTTAGCACAACAGGAGGCAGGGAGTGGACGCTGAAGGGTGTCTGCGGGGTCTGGGGCAGAAAAGACATCACACGCTGGTCAGAGGGACGTTTTAGCGACCATGTTGGGGAGAAAGCCCGATGGACACCCCAAACCCCGGTTCCCATGGCCCAGAGCACCGGTTCCAGCTGGTGATGCTGAGGCAGGCGGAGAACAGCAGGACGCAGGTGTGGGTTTGGCTCTAGGAACACCACAGACGCGGATGACGGGGTAGGCATCGGAGCGAGTGGTCAGGTCATTCAGAGACCGGCGGGGTGGACCCGCTGAAGATGCGCAGCCCAGCCAGGCGGGGGCACGACCCTGTCCCAGGGGGACAGCAGGTACCGAGCTGATGTGCACATCGGAGCTGGAACAGGCGAAGCTTTGGCTTCCACAGGCCTCACGGTGCCGGGAACAACACTGCTGGCGACACGGGAGGCCACCGATCGATGTCACGTTGTCTAAGATCAATGGGAAATGTCCTTGGGTGAGGATTACAACAAAAATCTGGTTTTCTTGTCGACTAGAGGCCCCAGTGCACGGAATTTGTGCATTTGAGTGGGGGGTCCCTCAGCCTGGATTGCGAGAGGGCACAAGCCAGGCCAAGAGACCCCACTGGTGCACGATCGGGGCCAGGGAGGGAAGCTGGAGGTTGGCCAGCCGGGGAGGGACCGTGGGAGGGCTACAGGGTCTGTCCGGCCGGTCTTGCTCAGACCTGATAGGCTGGACCTCAGCAGCAAGCTAACCTACCGATCGGAACATCTTCCCCCTGGTGGTCAGTGCACGTCATAGCGACTGGTAGACCAGTTGACTGTCTGCCCCCTGGTGGTCAGTGCACATCATAGCGAGCGGTTGAGCGGCCTTAGCATATCATTAGCATATTACGCTTTGATTGGTTGAATGGCTGACTGGACAACCAGACACTTAGCATATTAGGCTTTTGTTATATAGGATGTTTGTTCCATGCTGCCCAGCTTGTGTGGCTCAGGGTTGAGCATTGCCCCGTGCACCAGGAGGTCCCAGTTGGATTCCCGGCCAGGGCCCATGCCCGGGTTGTGTGCTCAATGCCCAGGAGGGGGCGTGCAGGAGGCGCGAGCATGAGTATGACCTTGAGTGACTGGTACATAGTTTAAAGGTGACACATCACTGAAGCATTGAGGGTTTGATTCTGCGAGGAGCACGCCACTCAGGTGATGGCTTCCTGCACTGAGAATCAGAACGAGCGCTTTCCCCCAGGAGCCCTGTGGCTGAGGCTGAGGCTGGGAGGCTTAAGTTATGAGCGAGTCTTTGGTGCCATCTGGTGGTGACATAGAGATTTGCTGGTCTCCTTTTTTCAAAGCCTTAGGAAGCCACTGCTGGGCACAGTCAAGTCAGAGGCTGAGATAAATTGGAGATTAGGACAAAAAGGAGAAACTTAGTAAACTGCTTTTCTCCAGAACATAAAATACTGTAAAACTGGCTGGGAACAAAGGGGAAGGCAGAGAAGGGAAAAAGCAACTCTTACTGCAGATTTTTATATTTTACTAGAGGCCTGGTGCACGAATTTGTGCACAGGTGGAGTCTGGCCGGCCCATCCAGATCAGGGCCAATCAGGCCGGGCCAGCCATGGGGAGGGGCTGCGGGCTGTTGTCCAGCCGCCTCCGCTCCCTGATTGAACTCCTGGTCGAGGGGGAAATTTGCATATTAGCCTTTTATTAGATAGCACAAGAGGCCTGATGCATGAAATGGGTGCAAGAATAGGCCTTGCTTTCCCCAGGTGCCACACCAGCTTCCCTCTGGCACCTGGGACCTGGGCTTCCCTCGCAGCTCTGGCTTTGTCTGGAAGGTCACCCAGTCTAATTAGCATATTATGCTTTTATTATTATAGACTAGAGGCCCGGTGCATGAAATTCATGCATGGATAGGGGTCCCTCAGCCCAGCCTGCACCCTCTCGCAGTCCGGGACCCCTTGCTCCTTACCACCTGCTTGCTGCTCCTTAGCGCTGCCGGAGGTGAGAGAGGCTCCCGCCACCACTGCTACACTCACCAGCCATGAGCCCGGCTTCTGGCTGAACAGTGCTCCCCCTGTGGGAGCACACTGACCACTAGGGGGCAGCTCTTGCGTCGAGCATCGGCCCCCTGCTGGTCAGTGCACGTCATAGCAACCGGTTGTTCTGCCGTTCAGTTGATTTGCATATCAGGCTTTTATTCGATAGGATTGTGAGAAATATGTGTGGAGAATGAAAGGGAGAGTGGTTTGCTCATCAGCGAAGCGTGTGCTTTCTGCCGTGATGTTGGGATGTCGGTCCACTCCAGGTCTGGGCAGCCCTCCGTGCTGGCAGGTGGTCCGGACCTGGGCTCAGGGTCTCCTGTTTCCCACAGTCTCCCTCCGTCATTATATTTCAGTGCCATTACAATCCGTCGGGGGTGATGGGCTAGAGCAGGGGTGGGCAAACTTTTTGACTCGAGGGCCACAATGGGTTCTTAAACTGGACCGGAGGGCCGGAACAAAAGCATGGATGGAGTGTTTGTGTGAACTAATATAACTATATAATTCAAGTAACATAAAAGGGTATGGTCTTTTTTTTTTTTTTTTTTTTTTAGTTTTATTCATTTCAAACGGCTGGATCCGGCCCGTGGGCCGTAGTTTGCCCACGGCTGGGCTAGAGACATAATCGGGGCAGCAGATGTTCTCAGTCTAGATTTCCATTTTATGTTATTTGAGCAAAATAACTCGTCAACTAACAGTCTCCAGTTTTTGCTAAGCTGTGAGGGACACGATTATCTACATTTTAATGAATGAGCCCATGGAGAGCTGAGTCCGTAGCAGAAACAGGTGCTGGAGACGTCAGAGCCTGTGCCCAGATGTGAGTCTAACAGAAATCGGGGTGCGCTGTTTAGTACCGTTGAACCTCAACCTTATCTTTAAAATAAAAATATTCGTGTAGCCCGACCGGTGGGGCTCAGTGGTTGAGCATCAGCCTATGAACCAGGAGGTCGCGGTTCGGTTCCCAGTCAGGGCACATGCCTGGGTTGTGGCCTCGATCCCCAGTGTGGGGCGTGCAGGAGGCAGCCGATCAGTGAGTCACTCTCTCTCATCATCGATGTTCCTATCTCTCCCCTCCCTTCCTCTGTGAAACCGATACAAATACATTTAACAAAATATTGGCCCTACCACCAGCAGGGATGGACCTGGAGAGCATCATGCTACGCGAAATAAACCAGCCGGAGAAAGATAAATACCAGGTGATCTCA